TGGTGTATGTAATGAGTAACAAATGTATAGGGAGTAGTCCAAATTCCAGCCTGGATGATCTCCTTCAGAGGACAACAAAAACGAACTGCTAGAGACATAGTGATATGTCAAATTTGATGAGACACAATAAAGTGATGCCCTTCCGAGGAGAGGGAAGAGTAAGCCAATCTAATAAGCTGACATACCCAACCTGTAAGGATGATGGGGAGAGGTCACGTGACACAGAAGGATTCCAGGGAATAAACAAACAGGAACCATGAAAGGAAGTCACACAAGCCACCTAGCATTGTAGAGCCCACACAAGACCCTGCAGGCAATTCGGACCTGACCTGGAATAAATATATATGGGAAATATAGGAAAAAGAAGTAACATGTGGTGTCAGACCTTGTCTTCTTTCAAGGGACCTGACAAAAGCCACACATGAAATCAGAGAGTGGGAGTGGTGGGATGGAAGATGTCCAAATGAGATTGATGAAGGAAAGAATGAGACAGAGGGAGAGGCAGAAGTGATGACAATTGTAGAGGCTTCAGGAAAGGGAACCAAGGCTGAACCGACCAAAACAAAGCCACCAAGATAACTCGACATGGAGTGGTGTGGACAAAGAAGATGACTTTGGGGAGGAGACATCTAAGTGGTAAGGCATAAATTTGAAGGCCAGTTTATTCCTAACTGAAGGCATCTACCCCTAAAGCCTGAGGATAACGAACCAGATACCAGAAAGATAGCAGTTTGTTGTTAAGATTGGTAGAATATGCATCTATCTGTGGGGTTCCCAGACAAGAGCATAACCACCAGAAAACTTTAGGATCTAGGGACCGCTCCATGAGAATGACTGTGTAAATGCCATAACCAATCTACAGCAAGATGTAAAACACCGGGAATATGGCTAGTCAATAGCTGTATCTGGTGTTTGAGGGCCCAGAATAGGAGTTCTAGAGTCTGAAAACAAAGGGACCTGGATTTGGTTCCCCCTTGCCTGGTGATGTATGAGATCACTCTGGAGTTGTTGGAATGCACCATAACCATTTCCCCTCCCTCAGGAGATGGAAGAAATGAGACATAGCTCAACAAATAGCTAAGAGTTCCAAAACGTTGACATCAAGCCAGGATTTGAACAACGACCAACTCCCAGATACATCTTGTGTATTAAGAGATGCACCTCAACCCATAAGATTCATTGGTAAAAAGATGCAGGTTTGGAAGACTAGGTGGAAGAGGAAAACAAACCAAGCAAGGTCAGTTTGAAGGGAAGTAGGGAGTACCACTGACTGATTCAAGCGATCCAAGCTGAAGTTGCATCGATCACAGAATTCCCACTGCAGGGAATGCATGTGGGCATGACCGAGGGATATGAGAGCTTCCAAGGAAGCCCACATCCCCAAAAGAGATAGAACCTCTTAAGATGGAAATGGAAGAGAATGAGAGGATAGGGCCTTGATGACAAACTGCTCCATATCCTGAATACATAGTGGAGAAGGCTGGGTCTGACTGAGGTGAGAACTGAAGAAAACTCCCAATGAACTAGATACTGTTTTGGGAAAAAGGATGGACTTCTCCATTTTGATTAACCAACCCACACAAGCTGCCTCCTCCAGGAACAAACAGGTGTGCCAAACAGGAAGGAGCCACAAGAATCCAGTAATCCATATAATGATGAGATCAAAGACCCAACAAATTTAAATGTTGAGCAAGGGCCTTGACTTCACGAAAAAAACATATAAGGAGCTGAGGCAAGCTCGATTGGAAGAGCCCAGAACTGGAAAACGAGTCCCTTGTGGATGAACCAAAGAAAACAACATCAGGATGGAGATGGGAACATGAAGGTATGCATCTGCTACATCAATATTGGTCATCCAAAGACATGGAGTGAAAATCCAACAAAAGGATAGAAACAACTCTTTGGTGAAATGAGAAGTATCCAGAAACTGATTTAGATGGGAAAGGTCAATGATGGGTCTTCAATCCCTGGTTTTCTTGGGGACAATGAAATGCCAAGAGTAAAAACCTGACTGAACAGGAAGCACTGAATCAATAGCTTCCTTCAGAAGAAGTATGCAACCTGGCCACATCATTCAAAGAATCAGGATGGCCCCCAAAAATGGTATCACACAGAAACAGAGCCATTCTTAAGGCTCTAATGCAAGCACCTTTTAGGTACACAATAACATACACAGTGATCATGATTCCATTTCTTTCATAATCTACAATACCTGCCATTCCTCCCATCTTACTCAAACAATACAGGATTTCTCACATATAGACTTTTCAGTCCTTATTAGCAAAATTGATGACACACTACCCATAATGCTAACTTCAGCCACAAACTCCAAAGAAATAGACGATCATGCCTCCCTGATTACCGATACCACCTTAAACACAATCAACAATACAATTCCCAGTAAAACTATCACTCCCAAGCTAAATTCATAGAAACTTACCCCATAAACAAACAATCTAAATTACAAACAAAGAAGGCTTTGCCACCAATTCATAAGAGCCTGTAGCATTTCAGTAAACAAACCTAATAAACAACACTAATAATCAAGTTAAAAAGCTTGTTAAAATCCTGCAACAACACAACTGGGACACTTTCTGCAAATCCATTGACGAATCCAAAACCAATATTCAGCACATTTTGGAATAAATTTAAAAAGGTCTGCAACAACTCCACAAGCTATATTAATGCTAATATAATATACAATAACAAAAAAGAAAACCTATTTGCATACTTTTACACCAGCACTTTCACCACTCCAAACCACTCTACATTTGATAGTCAATGCTTTAATACTATTAACAACCACATCAACACCAATCACACCATTTTTAATCATCATTTCTAGTTGACCTATTCATGCTACAAGAATACTGTGATTATTACATGCACCCTATCTCTCTTATAGAAATTAAAATCATTCTCAAAACAATTAAACACACTGCCCCAGGCAACAAAGATGGCATCAACAATATGATCATCAAAAACTTTTCTGACAACATACTAAATCACCTAACTGCCCTATACAACATATCCTTCTTTTCCAGATACTATCTATGTGGAGTACATCACTTGCTACCACATCCAGAGTCAGGGTGTATTAAACAAAATAGCAACCTGGTGCAATTAGTGGAGAGTACTTCTCAACCCAATCTAGACATAAGCAATAGCATTTCATAGAAATTTGACAGACAAAACAAAAAACTCAGACAAATTAAACTTACATCGTACAATATCCACATCACTATTAAAACAACTGCCAAATTTTTAGAAATCACTAAACTCACACCTGCTATGTATCATTCACTACAACAACACCCTGAAAAAAAAAGCACTACACTGGCATTCCTCCACTGAATCGGGGGTGTGTGTGTGTGAACAAAGGCTGTAATAGTCACTCAATCATTAAAATCTACAAAGCCCACATCAGATCTCTATATGAGTGTGTGTGCTCCATTACTTGTATCATACCTGACACACTATACAAAAAAGATCCAGCAGCAACAGCTCGCCATCATCAAAACATCTTTCCATCTCCCAAAATACACCCCGCAAACATATGTCAACAATCTTACTGATCTATCTCTCATTAAGGATCGCATTAATACATTAGTTCAAAAATTCTACAACAAAGCCCAAAAAAAGAAACAGCCAAACAAGCACTTTCCCCAACTTCACATCCATACCTTTCACATGGCAAACATACATATCTCCTCTTAACTATATAAATAGTGTTTAACCATATGCATGTACTAATCAATCATTCTCTTTTGGGTTGCATATTTTGGGAAAAGGTCAGGTAGATTATTTAGCACCTGGCCTGTGAAAACAGGTTTTTTCCACGCACTCTGGTTTCCCCCCTGCAACCAAATTAACAAGGGCATTGGATAATTTTATTTGTTTGTGGGGAGATGAACCTCACAAGTAGCACATCTCTCCCCAACAAGTCCAAACAACAAAGCAGCCAGGTCAATATGGACACAGCCGATGAAGAGAGTCTCACCAAAGTGACCATGGAAGGGTTCTGAGGTCCTCTAAAAATTCATCGGGAGAATGACGAAAGCGTGCAGACAAAATGTGCAAAGGTAACACAAAAGGTTAGTAAGTGTAAGATGAATCCTTGAAAACTGTGCCTGTGAAAATGATACAGAAGCTTCAGAATTAGAACTCCAGAGGGGTAACAGTGGATCTAATTGTTGGGGATCCAAATAAGGATTTGAAGAGCAATGAAATGATAAAGCATGTTGGTCAGAAACTCAAGGGGTTCGAAGCATATTAATCCCTGAACTTCACTGTGATAATCATCGCTGTGCATTAACCTCAATTTGAGGTAAAGGGTAAACACCAAATAGTCTGAGTGAGGGATCCCACACAAAAAGGAAGGAGACAGGACAAACATTAAAAATGTAAGAAACCTGTGTAATTAAGTGGAGGAAAGAAGTAGAAGGTCGAAACCTCCTCCAAACATGCAGGACGTGGCCATTGGCGAAAGAAGTAGCAGGAAAAAAGCTGTCTAAGTCTTCCTTGTCCTAAGCATTTTCATAAGCCTGATTAGTATATCTACTTTAATTAGTGGCAAATAATAATGGCAAGAAAAAATAAACTTTTTTATACGTGGTATGTTGATTTGATGGAGTCAACTTGTGGAGCTAGTGAAACTGAAGTTTCTTAAGTAATCATTACATCATTATCATATCAATAGTTAAAAATCAAATCTGTGTCATACATTAAACATACTCTATGGAATAAAATGGGATGAAAATAGCTATAAAACTTTATTTTATAGATTTTTCAAAAAAAAGTTATGTCTTATCCCTTTCTTTCGGAAGTTAATAACAAGCAATCCCGAGAAATTCACAAAACAATTGCTTACATCAAATTTTGTGGTTTTAAGATCAAGTATTTTATATTTGTATTTCATTTTGATAAAGTCTGAAGACAAAAAAAACAACAAAAAACATTAACTTTTACTTTAGAAGTCAAAATGTTTTATCTTTCATTACCTTTTGTTCAGAAAATGGAGTAAAGGCAATTCTGAGAAAGTGAGAATAAGAAGGAGGAATTGTTCTAAGTGCATTCACAAGCTGAAAAGGACCATAATCATCTAGCAAAGTAGAATGGAGCTTTGACATTATGATGAAAGAAAAGAAATGAATGAAATTATATATGAAATAACATATACAAATACAGAATAAAACAGACAAAACATATAGAATAAATGGAGTATTTCATATTGTCTCATACTCTATTTATTCAATGAATATAAAATGACAAATTTTAATCCTACACATTGCTTATTACAAGATACAATATGACAAATCTTAATATTAACAATACACAACATAGCTTTTGACATACAAAAAAGGATACTTTTAGAGACTCTGTTGATTGATTAATGAGCTGAAAGGCCCATATGACTCTCTTTCCAATGGGTACTTTTCCATAATTATGCAACTTGTTTCCATCCTTTACCACAAAAGGGGGTTGTACTACTGGACAGTGCAACTCAAGGTACAAAGTATTCTCAACACTTAATATCAAAAGAGAAAAAGGTACATCATGTGGCATATAAGTTTTTAAAACTTTATCAGAATTAAACAACAAAACATTATAAAACTGTAGTGTTGGAAAAAAAAACTAGAAAATTTATTTAAAGATAGAAAATGAAATACATAAAAATAATTTATTAATAACTTAATCCAAGGAGTCTCATTATTATAGTTATTTTTTGAAAAAAAATATTCGTATTGAGTTGAGATTATTTTAATTCTGTACAAACTGAAATGTTACTAAATATATATATTTTTCAAAGATAAGCTTCTGAAAATGAAAAATACTTTCTATTTGAATAACATAATTTATAATTATCCACTAAAAATACTTTATTGATGGATTTTCATTTCTACATGTCAGCAAACTTATACTTAGTCAATTTCAATTCACTATAGAACAAGTTACAGAAAGAACATGCATGGAAATTTATTATAAATAAGATTTGGGTTGCAAGAATTTAAACTAAAGCCATAACTTCAATAACATAGGAAACTTTCCTCAAGGAAATTAATATTATTATTATTAATTTTTATGTTAACAGCAAGATCCTGAAACAAAGTTAAGGTTGTGCTGTTTTGTATCAGAAACAAGCAATTAAAAATATTACCAATGAAGTTGGAAAAGTAACTTTATCACTACATCATGTTTAGTAAAAGCACTAAACACACACACACACATCAATAAATAACAATAGTATATAAATTCATTATAAAGTAAAACTATAAAAAGGTTTTCATTTTGAGCTATTTAAAGATGTCACATACTTGTACATTGGTTTTTTCAGAAGCGACAAACGTGCATGGGTAATAAAGCATGGAACTGTATACTTTTTCACTATTGGCTTCACATTTTCCAACAGAGACACAAGACCCAAATTGTACATTGATGACCTAAACAAAAAATATGAAAGAAATTAGGAATTAGGAACAAGGAAGAAAAAAAAAGATAAAAGTACGTAATAAAGAAGAAAAAATCCATGGAAAAAAAAAGATATAATTTCAATTTAAATAGCAATCTCACATGTATTCTTGTCAACTTTCTAAATATATTTATAATTAGCATATATATATATTTCTTAATTCATTAAATTATCTATGAAGAATTAAATTTATAAGATGTAATCATTTGACTGGTGGAAAACCTAAAACTCAAATGCTTCTCTGAAAAATTAATTTAACCTGATCTAATGAAAATATGTGAAGTCATAGGGATTAATAATCTAGAGCATAAACTTAAAAAAGATGGTATTTTTGAATTCTGTAAAAGATTGTAAACATAGTTAAATTCTATGTATGTAGATTATGAAGAAATTTCTTAAAATTCTTATTAATAAGTAAACATAAACCACTGATTAGTTGAAAGTTGATTAATCCATATTAAATACTATTAATACTGATATGAATGTCTCTTTTGAAAAATATTTCTCAATTCATATCTATAACTTCAACAATCATTTTAATCATCAGTTGGTCAATGCCTCAGGATAAACAACATTAAAGTTTTGCCCTGTGGTGCAAGAATTAACAGATTGCTTGGGTTACTAACTCTAGAACATCCAACATACAACTGTCCACGAGAGAAACATGGTGACAATAGGTTCAAGCCAATCACTTTCAGTGAATGTCTTTGAACCTTGTTAATAGACATAGCAAAACTTAAAATGATTGGAAACTGCAAGTGTTTAAATTCAAAAGGAGTATCTGTGGGGATGATGAGTACTTTTGATATGAAGAGATCCTCACCCTTGGAACTTCTGGTGAAGATTGTGGCCTCCAAAACATGAGGCAATAGGTGTTTGATGCACAGTCTAGTGCCATTGCAAAGTTTTGGAGGATCCAATTATGGAGAAACATTATGGGTGCACCTACCTTGAGCTCCAAGTTGTGTGGAGGAACACCAGGAAGTTCAAGAGAGTTTAACATTTCTGTTGGATAGTACATTGCCTGATCAGCATTTATCCCATATCAACTGACTTGTAGCTTTTTTTTTTGGCCAGGTAATAGTTTCAGCATGGAAGAATTAATTTCATTTACTGCTTCATTTTTAAAGGCAAGAATTGCTCTTTTACAAAGCCACTTGTAACTTCTGAAGTGTTCCTTGACATTGGGGAAGACCTTTGCTTTTAGCTCATCTTCAGTTGTGACAATTTTTCCACAAGGGATAAGTATTTGATTATCAGACCTGTTAACTGGAATGTGACCATTGCCAATATGAGGTGTTAGAAAATTGGCCTGATGTTCAATAAAAAAGACCAAGATTTGATATTGTTCTTTATGTCATGCCTTTGTGTCATGAATCTTTTATCTGCCTTTCCCAGCTCTTTCCATCGTTATGTAAGCTCCTATCAAGTAAATTAACGTTTTTTGACTTTATTAGACCCATTGGGCCATAAAATATTAAACATCTCTCTTTCTTTCTTGCACACTGTGCATTTGCCTGATGAATACATAGTTATTATCTCTGTGGCAAGGCAAGCTGCTAGTACAAAGGTTCCGTGAGATACATAAAAGAACTCTTATGTGAAAGGTTTGTAATGGGTCATGAGATTTTGAGTTGGATAAAGGAGGAGTAATCTAGGTTAATTTGCTCTTTGATGGAAAGTTAGGTAAAGCTTATACAGATCACACAGTGAAATATAATTCTACTTATCTTGTGCCAAAGTTAAAATTAACTGATGAGATCCTTGTTTTAATAATAATGCTGGGGTCAACTTTATTGTTTGTACTACTTCTGTGATACCCTTTTGATAATCTTTAACTGATTACAGAGCATCTTTGTTTAGTCTCAGGTGCCTGCATATCAAATATCAGCTGATTTGAATAAATACTCACAGAGATGGTGCTCTCCATATACACCACCTTCAGGGTGATTAACATTGTGTAGGTGGCCAGCAGGAAAACAAGTAATTCATGACCATCCATGGGCCAAGTGAAGCGGCCATGCAAAAATAGGTTTGAATCTGTTCACAAATGTGGCCATGCATAAGGAACAAATAAACTTAAACCATCTCCTGTATAAAATAGATAGTAGATAATATAAATAAAAAATTGAAATGATCCCCAAAAATTCATGATAAAACCAACTGTGACAAAAGAAAGCTGAAAGACATGAATTGTTTAAGTACCAGTATTTTTTTTTCAATTTACTTCAAATATGTATGTCATAAACCTTAGGGTTTCATTTTATTACTTCTGGCTGCCCATTATGTAAATTCACAATGTGTATAAAGGATAGGTGTGTCTTTAGTTAGATTAGTTATATTATGTTTCGTAGAATATTTTTATTGCAATAAAAATAGAGTTTGATGAATTTTGTGCAACATGAATCCAGGGCTATCAGTGTGAGCTGTTCCTGATTTGGAAGCAACACACTAGGGTATTTTTAACCAAAAAACAATAAGATTGACTATCACATTATAACACCTTCTATGGCTGAAAGGGTGAGTATGTTTGGTGACATAGTTAAATCCCACAACTCTCAATCTGCACAGATAGCCCTCAAGTATTTTACTGCATTTACCTTGGTTATTGTAATTAGAGTATTAATATTTTTACGTTTTACTGCATGATTTTGTTGTTAATTTATTTTTTATAATCATAAACATTAGTTAATGTACTTAAAAACTACCTGTTCTATACCACTACTTGACTTTATGATTAAATAATAATGTGTGACAGCCATATATGTCAGATTTTGTGGTACCTGGAGGTACCATATTTATTCTCTTTCATTTAGTTTAAAAACGTACACTGTATAGTTTATCATAATTTTCCGATATATGCACTTTTATAGCACTAGCAGAGTCTCATATGTAGAAGACAAAACAAAGTAATTGTATGTGCTGGTTGCTATTGATTATTTCACTAAGTGGGTTAAAACTTACCCATTGGCTTGATGAATTAGCATATCCATCGCTGATGTGTTGGCTGAACAATAGATAGCACAATTCAGAGCACTTGAATACATATACCAAAAGTGTAATTTCAGAAGCCAGTTTTTTTATGAACATTTAAATTACTGGGTATGGTGGAGACATGCTTTATTGCATCACCCCTAGTCCGGTAATTTGGCTGAATTGGTAATACAAACTATTAAGTAACAGAACAGAATTTCATTAGTTATTTACCAAACATAATCATGTTTGACATGGGAATACAGCTCCAAGTGGACATGATGTATTATGTTATCAGGTAGGTGGTAGTACTGCCGGTGTATGGATGGTTTGGATTATTCAGCAAAAATTTCAAATATCTCCTCAATAGGTCATTAGAACTTTCCTTTTATAGCAATTTCTATGTAATGGTCAAGTCACAAATTCTGGGAATGTTTGTAAACATCAGAGCAAAAAGTTTGAACTTCTTGTTCTTCCTTTTTTTGCTTCTTTTTCATTGCATGATAAATCAAAAACCGAAACAATGGTGTCAACCAAATTCACTGAAGTAGCATAGTTTCAAATAGAATATTTGCTTTTATAAGTATTATTAATTAGTAGTAATTAAAAAAAAAGTTTTTGAAGGACTGATATTAGTCATCCATACATTGAGTTCCTTTTTTGAAAAGTTTTTTCTTTACTTGTGCCCTTTAGAACAGATGTGCCACAGTGTCTGTAAGAATCTGTGGAGCGAAAAGGCAAAAGAGGTGGTACAATAAAGCAGTAAAAGAACAAAAGGTATGACTTTGGTACAAGCTTGTGGTTTGGAGGCAACTCAGCTCTGGATTTACTAATTCTTAACTCATTCTCTGATAACTTGGTCTATCAAACTATGGGCTGCAGTGTTCACATGATGCACGTAAGCTTGTTGATAAGCTGAAGCCACATATTTCTAATAAACCTCTCGAAAGCTGGGTAGGTCAAGAATCAGAGATTGAAGCTGATGAGTCATATGATTTGAAGGTTGGCTGTTATATAACATCTTGATTCAGCTGATGAAGAGAAAAATGCTGTAAGTACTTCTTTGACAATCTGTAAGGAGTAGGATGAGGAAAGAAGCAGCTCTCATGGTCTACAGGGAAGCCAAAGGAGACCTGATTATTATGGCTGGTATTAACAGTAAGAATAGCAGATAATTACAGTGAATTCATCTGCACTACTGAAAGAAAATGGCATTCTTACTTTCTGAGCTACCAAGCAGTGTTTCAGGATAGGATATATATATATATTAGATAATGTGATAGCCTCTTGATTATCATAAAGTTAGGACAGCTAATGTTAGCAGGTTTAAAGTCTAGAACATCATCTGTTTTCACAGCTGGAGATAATTACCAAGAGTTTAAAAAATTAAGCTCAATGGGAGTTGCAACCATTACTTTCTGAAATATTGATGGTGAGATGTTTGTACAGTAATCTGACATGTGATAATCACTCTCACTATCTAGCTGAGTGACAGCAACATTTCTGCAGAGAACACAACACAATACTCACTAGGTACACAGCTAGGCCTTCTGATGCTATTAAATGTAATGTCTAGAATATTTTCTGGTGACAGGACTGAAAATGATCACTAAGATTTCTGGTGGATCTAAAGGTTGTAAGGACTTCGATATCCTTGTTTTCCTAGCATGAAGGTAGAAAATTGCAGGATGTTTGTGAAAAACCACCTGAGATGACTTGTGTGTATGTATGGGTAAATTTTAATATTCATACACATGTATATAAGAGCTGTACATGACTTTCACACGTACAGTGAGGGAGATGTGTTCTTAATCAGCACTGATTATGAATTAGACCATGATAAATGTTAGTAAAAAAGTCCTTGTTTTGTATGAATTTAGTTTTCTGTGATGCTGACAGGAAGGGGTGATTCAACCCACAGTTGGCAATTCAATATCAGGATAGTACAGTGACCAGTGTTTGTGGCTGTCTAAGACAGTAAATGTGTTTTATTGTTGAATATTGTATTAGCCTGTGTTAGTCTGAGCTTCTCTTGATATATGCTATATTATGTAGCAGGTGCATGAATCCTAAATAAAGGAATTTCCATTAAAAATTCTTAGTTTGGCCAAATTCTGCCTGTGATTATTTATTTTCTGATGATGAAAGAGAGAGAGTAGAGCTTATTGGCTCATAGGTGGCAGTATGGTATCAGATGTATGGTTTTTGAGGTTTACAGAAATAACTCTTGAAATGATCACAGTTATTGTGTGTAAGTCCTGAGGCAGTGTGTTGAACAGTATATCTGATATGCAATTTTGATATAAATATATATATGTGTGTGTGTGTGTATATAGCATTATACATATATAGTTGTTTTTAAGTGGTTTGTCACACATATATGACCTTTACAGAAACTTGTTCATGTATGTTGTATTACATATATGAATCAATTACATTCAGAACATAACTGACAAGCAATAAAAGAATAATAATAAAAAATAAACAAGGAATTCAATTTGAATTTTAAGAGTCCACCAATGAAGTGAAATTATGATTATTGGCCTATGAAGATGTGGTGTACTCAATATTTGTGTTCATGTTGGTGAAAGAAAAATAACAGGTGAGCTCACACTACATTTGAAGTAAAACATTGTCTTATCCACTGTTTTTGGCAATGCTAGTGAAGAATGTTTTTGAATTAACATTTCCACGAGTGAGTGAAATTATCTATAGCAATGCAACCCACTGAAAGATGCTTATGTGCCATTATAAAATTAAAATTGGTGCAAGTAATGTTATTTGATTTTAGTGTGATGTGTTCAATTATGTAGATTGAAATATTGTATATGCAAACATTCTACACTAAATATTTTTTGACATTTCTACCTCCATTTGAGTTGTAATTAGAACACATATTAGTGTGGATTATGAGTTCATGTTTGTTTGGTTTTTGAATTTCATGCAAAGCTACATGAGGGTTATCTGTGCTAGACATCCCTAATTTAGCAGTGAAAGACTAGTGGGAAGGCAGCTAGTCATCACCACCCACTGCCAACTCTTGGACTACTCTATTACCAATGAATAGTGGGCTTGACCATCATATTATAATACCCCCATGGCTGAAAGGGTGAACATGTTTGGTGGGACTGGGATTCAAACCCACAACCCTCAGATTTTGAGTCGAGCTCCCTAACCACCTGGCCATGCCAGGCTGTATGAGTTTATGACTGGAAGCAGAAAGTAAAAATATTGTGGAACTACTTTATGGTTGTTTTGAGTTGTATCTTTCTTGTATCAAAGTCACAGGAATACTATATGCTTGTGCTAATGGTATCTCATTGTTGGACATTAGAAGAGAATGTATGCACAGGCCTGACCCAAACTTAGTTACTTATTTAGTAATAAGTACTTGTAGTTTAATTTCCTTTACCCATTGTACGAAGGCTTTGTTAGCATAGCAATCAGACCATGGTGGAAGATTCAGATACATGTGAGAAGTAGATATGATGGCTGTAGTAGTTTGGAAATGACACAGCAGCAATAACAGTTATACAATGGTTGAGTTATACCAGTATGAGCTCTAACTTTTTCTATATAAGGTGACTTTCTTGACTCTTTGGACCATCTGATTTTTTCAGTTGACCATAAGCTTCAACTTTCATTTGTTTGCATGACACACCTAATCGCTCTTCATAATTGAAGAAAACAACATGTTCAGTAACTTTGAGGGTTATTCTGAAGTTTCCGAGACACCAGGAGTTAGCCTCATGGCAACTGATATGGAGTCAATGGACGTTCCCAGAAGCTACTAAAAGCTTACAATGATGCGACAAGAACCAATGGTACCCTAATAACCATCATACCATTCCCAGAAGCTTCCCCACCTGGGAGACAACCATGTTCAATATCCTGGAGCCAAAAATGTTGGCCTTTCAACTTATGCAGCCAACTCTGTCACCAACAACCACACCACAAATAAATTAGACCATCAAGTACAAAAGGAGCTGAGCTCCCTCAAGTGTCCGATCAGTAACTGAAATGAAACATTTAACCACCAAAATTATATGTGCACAAACACACACATCCTAAGGGACCACAAGAGCAGGAAGTCTAGGGGGACTTTTCCAGAACTCAATGCTGAGAAATCATCAAAGAAACAGTGGGGAGAGTGTCCTTATTCCATTCTGGTTTCTTCTAGTTTTGACCTTTTCTGCTGGTCTAATGATCTACAAAAAGCCATCAATGTTGTCAGATAGTTGACAGAAGAATGTGTAGTTTCCCATGGTGTCATTGACCTCTGTATACTTTAGAGCAAAATTTGATCCTGAAACAACACTGCTTAGACCAAACTTATGACTAGAACTGAGGTCTAGGTGTCAATGGGAAGAAAAGAGAAGAACGGGCTGGGATCAGAGGGCTTTTCCAAAATAGCATGAGAATTTCACCAGGTCCACGTGGAGCTGGAAAAGATGAACTGAGCCACAGCTGAAAGAATGGAGATACTCCAGAAGACCATCTCTGTCCACTGCTCTGGAGAGTCTGATTTTGAACACGTGTGACTCCAGGTAAGTACTGAATGTAAATATGAACATGATTTTTTTTATTTTCCATTTTGTTATTTTATTGTACTCTATTTTCATTATTACATATTATCTTAAGGGCTTTGTGTATTATATATAAAATTATGTTTTAGAGGGTTTCATTGTTTTAATTGCATATATACTTCAAATGTACCAAATTTACTGTGTTCAGAGGCACTTTTTGGTATTTTTGTTAAGGTCTGTGTATTTGTAGCATATCTACAGTTTGCGTAAATATGTATATAAATGAAATGTTTATTTTATAATGTATAAAGTTTGAGTAGGGTTGTCTTTTTGTACATATTAGGTGTATTTCTTGTCTTTTGTTTTTATCTGTTTCATGTATTTAATTAAAGGTATTATGATTTATTTGAATGTACCAGGTTTCTGTATATAATCATTAAATGGTTTAAATAAACTTGTTATATATGTTGCAAGAATTGTCATATTTCCTTTTTTTATGGTGATCATTTGTATGTATGTATATTAATACTTATAATATAAGATATTGCTTTTGTTACTTAAGTTTCTTTTTTTAGCTTTTGTCTTTTGTAATATGATTAATGGTTTTGTATTTAAAGGTAACATTTAAATAGTTTTCTGATTTTCATTTTATTATGGTATGAAATTTTCTTTTGTATGCGCGTTTATTTTCTTATAAAGGGTAGTTTAGTATTGTTATTAAATTATTCTGTATATATTTCAATCATTACTAAGGAATATCTTTTATGTCATTTTATTTGTATTTAAGTTTTATTACCAAGACTTTTTCATTTTTAAAATATTTTGTCCTTCTCTGTCTCATCTATGTGGCACGAGAAATAAGGTGCATCCACTGTTTTTTTTATTTCTGTCAGCTTAGTATTTGGATTTTGGTCTAATATAAATCTCCTAAGGTGGCTGATCCTCGTAAGATATTATTTGGATTAGGGCTAAAATCACTGATAACAAAGAGGGTACCCAACTGATGAATCAATGCAATCTAATTATTATAAGTTTTGTTTTATGGCAATGTATACTCCTAATTATATTGGCATACTAAATTAGCTACATTATTTACAAGGTTAATTTTTACTTCTGATCTATGTAGGTAGCTTGATTTATCAGAATTTATTGACAATATGAATTTATGAAAAGTACAAAGTTTGATGAAGAGTGTTACAACATAACAATCAGTGAAACAATAGATGATATCACTACATGAAGCCCTATGACATAACCTGACTTGAAACTATATTCTGCATTTTCATGAAATAGGGGTAACTTGAATTGATTACTAAACAGCATGTTTAAAAATATAAGACAAAAATATTTTGTTCTTTACTATATTTCAATTACATTATTCTCTTTTTCTTTCTAAAATACCAGTACGAGATACTTTCTTGTCAATATTCTCAGCATTAGGGTAGAAAACATAATTTTAACTTACCCAACTTCTATTTCTTCAGGTTTCACAGGCTTTAATTCATGAAGCTGGGAGAAATCTTCAATCTCTGTTTGGTCTGTGATTGAAGCAAGTTTTTTGTTTTTCTAAAAAATAATCACGTATAGGCTTAAATGTTGGATTAAATATAGCTTTTTTATTGTATGGATGAGTGCATGTAACATTTTAAAATGTTGATAATTACTCAATTATAACAAGATTATTTGTATCTATAAAACAATTACATGTATGATGCGTGTATCACTGGATAATTCACTTATGACAAGCCTAAAAAAGGTATTAGTGTATGAATGGTTACTACTAAGTGTACATAGTTCATGTATGACTGAGACCTTGTTACCCTCAAATATTTCTTAGATGCTATTCATAAAAATAAAATTGATATGTAGAATTTATTATTCTTCAAGTTTTCAGTGCCTATATAATTAACTTAAGTATTTTTTATTTTTTCTGTGTTGCAACTATTACTTAAAGAGGTTTCACCAGATATTTTAATATTTTGGAAATTAACATACCCAAAGATTTTCAGTAATTCTGACTACCAATAAATATATATATTGTTTCCTTCAGATATTCTCAATAACAGACTATGTCAACTTTTTTATCAAATAAACTTTAGAAAAACGATTTTAATTCACAAAAATAATAAAATGAATTATAACTGTCCCTGTAATAGAATGACTTTTACAAACACGAGTTAGCATATATAAGTTATTATTAAATCAGATTTAATTAAATATATGATCCAAGGTCAGTATTTTACACAAGACAAACAATAAAAAAATGAACATTAGAAAACCTTCAATTAATGGTGAACAGTAGAATGATGGCAGTAACAAACAATTAATTCTTGAAAGTTTCAAAATATACATATTCCATCTTCACCAAGCTATGTTGAACAGGGTAAAATATTAGGTATAAAAATTTATAAAATTCAAACATTTTATAAAAAGTAATTAAAATATAGAATAAAAAAATGAAGTAAATCAAAAGACAAACAAATAAAAAAATAATGTAAAAATTGTGACAGTATTATACAAGTTATTCAGAAGAGACTTAATTGCAGTGAAGCTGTGTTATTTTTTGAGTTGGGAGTTCATTTATAATAGATAAACTTTCTTTAATTAAAAGTTCAATATTAGATGATCCAGATGAGATGACTTTGAAATTTGTAATCCAGATGGGGTGGTTGTTGTTTTCACTATATGTTCAAATTGTGGAGTCTGGTGGAGTTGAAAGTTTTTAGCAGTTCTGATTGATACTCCAATATATTCGCAGGCTCACAGGTGTAATTGGTGTATAGTTTTGCCAATGCAAATGGCATTACAACCACCATTTGTGTATTTATATACACGATCGTGAAACACATAGGGGTACGTAATAGGTCATTAGATCTGAACAGCTTTTGTATTTTGAAAGGTGATTTAAATACTATTTATAGTTGAACTTGTGGATAAAATGTTTTAATTATTCTTAAAATTTGTGACTTCACTATAAAAAATTTGCTTACCTAAAAAACGTAATGATCTGTCTTAATGGGTATTTTTCAACAGTGCATGGTTTCTTTGTGGGTTCATGGTTTGAATAAAATGTAAGGAATAGTCATTATGTATTAGAATATTCTGTAAGGTAGTGATTTCAGTATGAAGAGAGAGGTAGTTAGAACAGATGTTATATGCTCATTTAAAGGAATTGTTGAATCGAGTATGTAAGTCTGTATATGTTTTTATGATAAACAGATGTTGTGAAATGGTTATTTAATTTGGATATCAATTAACAAATACATAAATTAATATATTTTCCACTAGAGTTAAATGTTTCTGTAAGATAAATAAAATGATAGATGTTTAATAAAAGAGCTAAATGTAATACAAATACAAATTGTTTTTCATGTTAATGTGATTACTTTTTTTTTTTCTATAATTGATTACAAATGTAGTATTTTCTGCTACACAGATTTCTTATAGAGCACTTAGTTAGTGTGTACTAACTGGAGGTTTAGAAAATATCACAGAGTTCTATCTGACTTCATCACGAGAGAGAGAGAGAGTTCACAACAACAGTCGCTATTCAGAAAAATGGTGAAAGCCATGAACATACTACACAAAACAAGGTCAAGTGTTTGTGGTGGGTATGTTGGACTAGTACAAGAAAAATGAATGAAAGTTTAGTGGATTCCTCTTACAAGCTCTCTGTAAGCTATACTAAATATCCATACATGAAACAAACTCTAAAGTAAATTTAATTACAACAAAAGCTCAAATTAAAGAAATGCCAAAAAAAAAGTCTTAGAATTTAGCAAACCAGTCGAACAAAAGCTAAATCACGCAACAGCTAAACAAAGTTTTCAACATTAGCAAATGTTCTCTCATGTTACACAGACTGCAAAAGTTACTGGTTTTAAATACTAAACATGATATTAATAAAGCCAGGCTTGCTTGTTACTGAAATTCACATGTCACCATTGTCAACTGTAATCTGAACACAGGAGTGTGGCAGACCCTGGCAATTATCCAAATTGCCATTAGGAAAAGACTACCTTCTCTCTCAAAATGTCAGGAGCTATCTAAAATGTAAGGAAAGATAGCTTATTGCCAGTTAGTGGAATTGTGTCTCATATGCATCACAGAAAGGAATGCTGAGTTGTTTACTTGAGCATTTCGGTGCATCAAAACTGAACTGAAACAAAATACAGAAATTTTGAAAAAATTATGTATTAACTAAAGAAGTAGTTAACCCTTGGTATAGTCCTGTACCATGCAAATTTCAGACTTACAATATATATAATATGTAAACTTACTGGCAATTTTTGCTGCATTTCTTTCTCCTTCAATAAGAGTTGTTGTTGTAGGTGTATTTTTTGTTGCAAATCCTCCTTGGCTTTTCGTTTTTGTTTTTCTGTTTCTAGTTTTGCTGCTTGTAATTTTACTTCAGTTTCATCTAGTTTTGGATGGAAGGTTACGATAATTTTAAAGTTCTGAAAATATAACATAAATATACGTATATAATTTCAACTTAGGGAAAAAGGACCAAAGGCAAAGTGTGGCATAGATATACACATGTTTAACAAGAAAACTGTATAGAGTATGCAATAAAACTAACATCACAGATTTGCATATCCATATACACCCATATTTAAAGCTATATACATCTTCTCTGTAAGATGAAGGTTCATGAGCTTATGATAGCTCACATAACTATAATTTACTTTCATTTAATAAGATGTTTACTAAAAATGGTATATTTACCTCTCAAGTACCAGCTCAAGACCCACTATTTTCTAAAAATGTTATACTTATTTGCCATGTACTTTTACTAGATCCTGCACCTTCTGTAGTTACTAAATCATATGTCATTTTAACATGTTGTATTTACTTGGAACCAAAGTGATGTTTTGTTTTGATGAAAAACTTATCTTTGGCAAGATAAAAACAAAAAGGGAAAATACTTACAAAATGAAAGCATAATAATGTGTGCTTTTTAAAGGAAATGGAAGAATCTTTAATTATGATAAATAAAAGCTGAATACAAATGTAAGTACCTGGAATATTCATGATGTTTTATCTCAACATTTCAGTATGTATTCAAGGTAAAAAAAAATTCTGTAACATTAGAGTAGTATTTGCAAATATATCTTAAATTTAGGATTTTCTAAGTATGTTAGTTTACTTTCTGTTTTTCTTTATATTAAATTTTTTTTTTCTGATTTTTTCTCGCTTGCTCCAGTTTTTATACCCTACTCTCCACCTGCGTCAATGCACCCTCTATCCTGATACTGTATATAAGCACCTCTTTCAGATAATGTTATCACTTTTTCGAGACGAACTCAATCTGCAGTCTCTAACACCAGTTCTTAGTGGGGTGGTTCCCAATTGAGCAGTGGCTATAGACAGAATCTATTCTGTGTACCAATGTACTGAGGGGCTTATGTTGAGACCTTTGAATAGGGGCGAGACTATGACTCCCTGTAGGAGCCAATGAAACTTGAGATGGATGGCAACAACAACAGGGATGAATGTAGAAGTGGAGAATTGAACCAATGTGCATGATAACAATGGTTCCAGCTCATCATCAGAGAAGTTGGTGATCCTGAGAGTCTTCCAACAAAGTGTAGTATAAGGAAAACAAAATGTTGGATTTTAGAGTTGCAATTCCATTGACATACCCTGTGTCACCAGGGGACATTGTTCGATTCAGGTGAACTAAAAACTTTGCCTTAGAGCCCATAAATTGGAGGAGCAGAAGTATTATTTGAGAGCTGGTATATGCTTCCACCTAGTGGTGGTAGGCTAAATTATGAAGTTCCAATAACCTTGTAACTGAGAAGTAACCTCCCTGCATGAACCACAATGTCCTTGAATAGAGAGAAAACTAAATATCCACTCCCAGACCTTTCAGTCATCAAGTAAGGTGCAGGCACACATAAATACTCTGAACCTTCTAAAATCTTGGGCATCTTAACCTAGTGCTGGCTGAGACTGTGTGGGAGATAGTCTACCTGCCATCACAGGTTCCTGTGAGTGAGGCTAAGCAGATTTTCCTTGGACATTTAAAGGTACAGCCAATGATGGTCTGGATAATTCCTTTAAGCATTTCAATTAGTGTTATGTCTGGAATAAATAGATTTGGTGACAGACAGTGCAGTGCCTGTTGCTGAATCTAGATGAGTATGGATGACAAAGAAGATGATGATGTGGTATAAAGTCATACCATGTGTTTCCCACTCCATAATTAATATGTGAATTTGTTCAAAATTTCAGTATTTTCTCTCAGTTCAGTTTAGATGTGGAAAGTTATTCAAGTAAACACATTTTAATTTTGCTTCTTGTTAGCTTCGTTTGAGACCCAATATCCCTAATTGGCAAGTTACCAAATTTCTTGCTGGGAAGACAGCACATGATGTTCAGTAATAGAAATATGTTTTTTATGTCATCAAACTGGGTAACTGTTTGGAGTTTTGCCTTTCCTAGCACTAAAACAGGAGTGGGTGGAGATTATGTGCAGAATAAAATTTGTTTGCAAATCTGACTTAAGTTGTTATTGTATGCTTTGTATTAAAAGCCAGGTTTTCCTTTGTTTATTCCTTGCATATTTTGCAGAGATTTTTCTGAAACTTTAAACTTGTATTGAACTGTAACTTTAATTTGACTTTGAATGTATACTGTGACTAAAGTGAGATTTTGGTAAGATATTTTTGCTTGACTTATTTTCAGAGCTTTTGCAATATTTTACCTTTATTATAACTCTGACTTTGTTATATTTTACCTTAACTTAAGTAGTACACAGTTTTAGTTTCACTTACAGAGAGGCATACACTGGTAAGATAGCTTATTAAGATTTCACTTCATTTCTCTGTTTGTGATTTAGCTGTAGGTAAATAAAGATCATTTTGTGTGGATTTTTCGTGATTTGACTGTTTTTATTCTGATAAACTTAGATAGTGATTGTAGAGATAAACAGAAACACCCCATAACATGATGTCCTTTTGAACCTTCTGTTAATGGGTCCTCATTGACTTCTATAAAGACAATCTGTGAGCCAGAAAATACCACAATTGGTACTTGTCTGGTTGCCTGAGAGGAGTTAAACAAGGAAACAATAGTGGAGAATCAGCATAAACGTTTCAACAGTAAGCCATAGTTCTGATGATGAACTTCTGGCTGATATCACCAAGATTAACTGCGAAATCAACAGTTTGGATAACAAATGGATGAAAAAAAAATGGCATTCCTAACGTTTCTGAGCTATCAAGAGAGGTTTCATAGTGAAATATCTGCAATGTATCATGTGATAACCACTTAAATATTACACAGTCAGGGCAGTTTTTGATCACATGTGGCCATTAATTTCCAAGCTACCAAGTAGTTTCTTTGAGAGATGTCTAAAGGAAAACAATTATTTTTATATCAAGAATAGTTGATGTTAGGAGATTTAATACCTAGAATATCACAGAATTTAAAAACCAAGCTCAAAGGACATTGCAACCCTTACTTTCTGAGCTAGCAAGTAACTTTCAGTGGCAAGATGTTTGTGTAATATTTTGTGATAATTGCTTGCATTAACTAGCTGAATAGTAATATAATTTCTATAGAGCAATATACACAATATTCACTAGACATATAACTAGAACATTTATAGTTGACAGGACTGTGAATAATTGCTAAGATTTCTACTACATAACGTCCTTACATCAACCACAATTTTCCCCTATTCAATGAAAACTCTACATGATCTTAAAAAAACTTCTCTCTCATGAACACAGTTTACAAACTATTGGAATCAGCATCAAACAGAAAAAGTAGCACATTCAAACTAAATTTTGCATAAACAAATCTTTTTATTGTATCACATAAACATCGTCTGTGGTATTGAGGTACGCTGATTTCTAATAGAAAGTTTTAAGTGGAATACAAAAGGTTTCATCTAGAAATGATATGGAGAAAATATTTTCAAAGATGAACAGCAAAGAAAAAATAAGCAAACACAAAAGAAGAAATCAAATCAAATCTGTATTCACAAGTAAAGATGTACTGGGGTCTTTATCAATACTTGCTTAATTAAATACTTGTTATTAACTGATAAACTCTTTCAAGTCAGACAAGCCCTAGTGTTGTATTCCACAAATCTAAATTACCCATGTAAATAATCATTCCTATTATCCATTCTAAAGTAGATAAATCCCAGTATAAACTGTTTTGCATAAGTTTCTGTACAACCCTTTAAAATGAATATGACTTCACTACGGGAGCACATCACACAAGGCAGAGGGCCAAGCAAGTATAAGCTGTACAAAAAAAAAGTGGTTTTAACTTTTGTCCATCCTAGAGAATCAGCATAAGTTGAAAACCTTTCAATATCCAGTTTACAAGGATGCTACTAATTAATTGCAAAATACCTGTATAAAAATGCACAAAAATGTAAGTGAACATTCCAAAATAAAGATATCTTCTTATATTCTTCACAGTTATTGAGGATGAAATTAATAGTATTTTGTATCTTCTGGTGGGCATGTTTTTGTGAGATTAGTTCTGTTGTAGATTGTGTATGTGTGTAAGTGTATATATATTTTATAATATGGTACTTGGTGTTCCCAATTTGAACAGGACTTTGTGTGACACATGGACTAAACTGCCAGGTCAGAAATCATAAAGTTCAGACATAGACATCCCTAATTTAGAACTGCTTATCAGATGGAGGGTAACCAGTCAGCAGTATGCCACTTAAGTGGCTAACTCTAAACTAAATAGCAAGATTGACTACTGGAGTTATACCACTCCTATGGGCTGAAAGTATGTTTGATGGCACATTGTGCCTCCAACCTCGCATCTTCAAGTCATTTGCAGGTTGTTACACTAAATACTAGATCAAACCTCACCTATGTTCTTATTGGTATTAAAATACACACACACATGCTACAAGTCTCTTCTTCTATTGAAATCTCTAGATAGATGATAACAGAATGTTATTTCCTAAAAAAGTTGCATGTCAGAAAACTTGAAAAAAAACAACTTAAAAATCACCAGAGGCTAAAAGAAAACAGTTTTCATTAAACATAAAAGATCCCAAAAAAACAATCAAAAACTATTTTACACTAGAATTCTGTAAATAATCATGGGATCAAAGTTTAATTCATATAAAATTTCTATAAGTTGTTTATCTTGTAAAGATATAAAAATTCATGAAAAAGAAACAGTTTTTTGTCTATTGGTTCTTGTTTGGTGTGTAAATATTTCTATTTGCTAGAATAAACCCATTGGTATTTTTATCTCAATGTTAACATTTTCCTAAATTGAAAATGTATTTCTAATAGATATTACTTCTTCTCACAATAGCTTTTCTCGACTTATACTGCCTTCTATGAGAACAAATTTTCACTTCCCACTAGCCTTGATACTTCCACCCACCCTCATATGTATTCATGTAAGACAACTGCATGCTGTCAGGTGGCAACCCTCCACGAATAAGAGTGTGACAAAACTTCTTTTGTTCTAGTGCCCCTTCTTCCATGCAGAACTTAATCACTTTGAGATTGGACAGTAAATACAGAACCTACACTGAAAGTTTGGTGGGAAGTGTGAAAAAATGTAAGTATCTATCAGAAATACATTTTCAGTTTAGGAAAATGTTAACTTCCAATACAATATCTTACCTTCACAAATAGCTAGAATCCCACATTGAGTTAGCGAAGAGTCTGGTGAAAAAATGATCTCCCTTTAGAAAGCATCCAAAGAAAGACCATGGGGTTTGCAAATAAATTGAAGGCAACACTCCTGTGAAAGACTGCACTACTTCTGAACCAGGTATACTCTTTGCCCACATGAAAATGTATAGCAATAAGGGCAGAAACAAAGGAAGGACCTACCCTGGATTATCCTGTATGCACACCCTACAGAATTCGCACCATATCTGCTAGAAATGGACATGCAGGGATGGTAAGAAGGTGGACAGCAAAGTGGGGGTGCATCTCCAGTCTAGAATAGTATTGGGATCGTATCATCAAGTCTGTGGTAAGAGGAGGGTACTCGGCTATGAAATTAAGGGACCCTCGGTGTTGAATGGTTAGGGTGTATTGGACTGTAAATGGGAGGTCTACCTCAACCAACACCAGAAGAACTGTGATAGGAATATCCAGTTCATGGTAGGAGGAGGTACCTCTACCTGTCATCTCCGATACAGGTACTGGCAGGAAAGAGGAGCCTACGCATGCCAAGGACCTGTCTCAGTATGTACGCACATCCAACACAACTATCACTATATCCGCCAGGACAGTAGTAAGAGGAACAGCAAAGTGGAGTTGTATCTCCACTTCATCACCAGGCTGCATTGGGAATGTATCACCCAGTCTGCAGTAGGAGTGTACCCAGTCACACATGTGAGGACTTATGTGACTAGTTAAAGTTCCAACCATCATAGACCAGCCCTGAAGGCCCGGAAGGAAGTGCACCAAAGCCCAACGAACTGTGAGGAGCTCTCGGGAGTTGAAAAAGGAGAGAGGACTCTGAGAGAGTCCACCATCTCAAATCCTCCTGAGTGACCAGATAAGCACCTCAACCAGAAAAGGAAGCATCCATAAAAGGTGAAGTTCCAATTGAGGAGGAAGAGGAACATCTAGAGGGGTGTCATCCCTATCTAACTACCAGGCAAAGTTGGTCAGTAAGGAAGAAGAAAGGATGAGAGGGGCATCTAATAAATCCTGAACAAAGCTCCTCTGGACCCATAAAACTCACTGAAGGTAACACATGTGGTCATAACCAAGAAGGATGAGGGCTTCCTGAGGAGCCAAAGTCCCCAAAAGAGAGAGAAACTCTCACACTGTGGGAGAAGGAGAGGAGGAGAACTGTGAACTAGAAGTACCATAGTCTTCCACCAAAGAGGCAAAGTTTGGGCCCAACTGAGAAGAGAATAAAACAACACCCCAAAATGAACCAGGTAGTGCATGGGGGTGGTGGTGAGAAAAAATATCATTACCTACCCCAATCATCCAATTCAAGCTGCTACTATTAGGAGAAATGGAGTATGAAAGCAGAGTCAGCCTGTGAGGAAGTCAGAAAAAGCCAGTCATCCATGTAATGGTGGAACTGAAGGTTCTGGATATAAAAAAGATGGGCAAATGCCCGAATCACCTGACAAAAAACGTATGGAGTCAATGCAAGTTTGAACAGAAGAGCATGGACTGAAACACACATCTCTGGGGGTCAAAGCGAAGATAATGTGTAAGTATGCATCCAACACATCAACTGCCATCATCTAGAAACCAACAGGGAAAACCAAATGAAGGACTCCAATGTGAAATGTGGGAGGACTAAGATATTGTATTGGAATTATAGTTTCCTATCTTAACCAGTAATTAATATGAATGGTTTAACAATTGTTTTATCCTTGCTATATTCCTTTAGAAGAAACTGCTGGAAAGAAAAATAATTAAGATGATCTTTGAGATTTTTACTTTTTCTATCATCAAATTCTATTACAAAGAGAAAAAGAAAATAAGCTCTCACCTTCCCTTCTTCAACAGTACCAACAAGAGGGGAAATTGTTATTGGTGCATCTTCAGATACTACAAACTCAAACGAAACAGGATTTTCAGTCAAATTGGCAGGTTTTTTAGAAAGTGATGGTTGTCTCAGATGAAGTGTCACATTACTGTAGTGATTCATTGGAGTTGGTGGAAAATGGACAACAGGTGAAGAAATGACCAGTGGTAGCTGTACTCCTTTGCCAGTACATTTTAGATGAAACTGTCTAATATATACACACAAAGAAAAAACTTTTTCACCTCCTCAAACGAAGTATATAATCTTTAAAAAAGTTTAGTCTACAAACTTAAAATGGTCTAAAATTGCATTTTAAACTACTCAACATATTTAAAATGCAAATTCAATAGTTTCTGAAAAGATTGAAAAAAGATGCATAATGGCAACTTCCTATTTTGAGTACAAAAATACAGGGTGTACACAAATGAATGTTGGGGTTTTCTAAGCAGATTGGCAAAAAACAGATACTCACTGTGAATTGAACTTTTCTTTATTTGATTCACCAAAATTTTTATTGTATATGCAGTTTTATCCTTTTCAAAAGGTTTTTAAAATGGTATTACACAACTTCAATGTGTGCACCATTAACAACATGGCACACATCATATTGATAATCAATTTCTGTCCATACTTGGTCGAGAGTCTCTGGCATAACACTTTCAATTGCTCTAGTGATGCTTTGTCATAAGTAAGCCAAATCAGCAATCTTTTCGCTGTACACAATGTTCTTCACAGAAAGAAGTCTAGAGGCATGAGTTCAGGATTCCCTGGGGGCAATGCAATTGGCCTGTTTCTTCCAATCCCTCAGTCGGAGAATCTGGCATTCATCGATCTGCAGGAACACAAAATTTTTTAGCATGTCCAGATAGACATTGCTGTTAATTGTTTGCTTGGCAAAGAAAAATGGCCCAATGATGCAATTCCGCATCAAGTTGCACCAAAAATTAACCTTTGGCTCATCTGAGAACAAAATGCTGTTCAGGAACTCCAGTTGGCTATCACATTTTTGGAGCATGTCAATGACAAACACAACTCTCTGCAGCTTGTTATTTGGTTTGATTTCATGTAGTAGTAGTATCTTATATGCATGGACTTTCAGCATCTTTCACATCACATTGTGAAAAGTTGGCTGCGGAACATTTAACTGTAGACTACAGTAATGAATTGGTTTTTCCAAGATTTCTAATGCAGGACTGTTTGATAGCCTCCATATTTTCTTCAGATACACCAGGTCTTCCTATTGATGTCCTTTTTTCGATACTGCCTGTTTCTTTGAATTGTTTGAACCAACTTCAGCTCAGTTAACCACAGAATGCACACTGCCTTTTCTTGAATGCTACTCATTAGAACAGAACCCTGCAACATGAAACACTACTTTTCACAAAACTATATAGGTATATAAATAAGTGGATATGCATAAATGCTGGGTATTGTAGTAGTGACATAATGGCAATGTCACGAAACCTCACCATTCATTTGTGTACATTCCGTACTTTATGTTTTAATTATCCCATTCATCTTCATATTGCTACTGATAGGGTAGGCTGATAATCCAGTACTTAGAAAAGCATTTGTACTAAAAATAAATACAATATAGACAAAAAAAATTAACCATATGTTTTAAACATTATATGTTTCTAATCTGAGAAACACAAAAGATGCACTAAGCAGAGAATGAGTAAATATTATTATTAAGTGTAAAAATGGAAACTATAACTTACAAGTAAAAAAAAGAAAATGTAAGCTTCTATGGGAAGGTTACTATCATGTTGTTGATTGTTGAACTGCAACTGTTTTAGTGTGAACTAGATTAAGTTAGTGAAACGTAATATTTATACATTTTATTTAAGCGATAACACATCAAAATTAGGTTTATTGTTTTCATTAGTATCAAATTATATATTTATTTTAACACCAATGTGTTTATTATCAACATTAGTTATTTATTTCATTTACTTGAATTAACTTTTTACTCCTAAATCAAAAGAACCAGTAATCTAATCTTTTTGATCCTCGATTGGGAAAATAATATATTAGTAATTATAAGAACTTATGTATGACAGTAAAGAAAAATGTACTAATATATCAACCACACTTTATCTTCCATATCCAATATTGAAGAGACCTTTTGCTCAGTACCAGGGTTCATCAGTAGTAACATACTTTTTGTTTCTTTTCTATATTGATATTCATAAGAATGGTTTGAATAATCTATAGATAACAACATTTTTTGACTCTCTTGATTTAATTAATTAAAAATATTTTAAAGAGATACAATGAAAAATCCACACAAACTGTGTCATAAATGAGGTTCATATTACTCATGTCTATAATAGAGAGGTTAATTACATCATGTTAAAATGATTATTGAGCCTCACCACATCTGACCATTCTCTGTCTGACCACTGCACATCTTGACAGGCCCTTCTGCTGTTTCCATTGCAAAAGGCTCTATTGCTGTCAAGTCTAAAGTATACCACTTTTCCCTGCAATTTTCTATAAGCCATTTAGTGTAATAGGATGACAGTTTCCCAGAATCCTTTTGCAATCATCATAAATCCACAGATGCTGTATCTGGTGATATGACCAGTATATCTCCCAATGAATATTAAATTTACTCTCCAACTGCTTGATGTATTATGATGATTGAATGGATATGTCATGGAAGCAACTTGTGTACAAGTTACTTGCATTGTTTTTTCCAGACAGAGATCCTTCTTGATTATGTTGTGTATACTTACCTGGGACATGTGGATGGCTTTTGCCACAGATCTTTGTATTCATGGAGTTTCATTTGCTACATGATGTCCTACTTTGCTTACCATGGCTGGGTATGACTTTTTGCAGGTTTCTTTTGGGATAGTCCTGGTGATTCAAGTTGATCCATATTCCTTTGAGTTCTAACGTTTTTAAGTACAAAGGATATCTTAATCTTTGAAATACATAATTCCTGATCTCAACACACCTTTATCATCCAAGAGTATGGATATTTGCATGAAAACAGATGTTACATGCCCTGCAAAAAACTGATAAGTTTTCAGTTCCATCAACTACCTACAAAATGACAAACAATGTCAAAATGTAGTGCTGACAGTCATTCCACTGGAGTTTTATATCAGCTGTGGCTGTCATGTGAGTTACTGATTTGCATATTCAAAATCATATCAATATAAAATCTTCAACTCTCTGTAATAATTTAAAAGAATAAACTTAAAAGAACACTTTACTCCTGGACAACATGTGTAACATACAGAATCCTCCTGTATATATGCATTTCAACTTTTTTTTTGTAAGTAATAAATCTCTTTTGACACAAAAACAAATTTTTTGGAAAGACCTGCTACCAACCCATCTACCACATAAAAGAGAAAATCTTAGAGTGAGCAACCTTGACATTAATTTCTCAAATGCAGTGATGTCACGAGTGCTTAGAGAAACTGTTTGATGGATCAGTTGTTTTGTTTTCTAGCAGCTCAGTTTCACTGTATACATTTGAGTTAGTTCTTGTCAAAATGCCTACTTGTTGTGCTCCTGGTTGTAGCAAAACTGAGAAAACATCCAATGAATATATTTTTTTTAGTCTACCTTGGGATAATCCAGTGCAACTCAAGTTATGACTTGCAAAGCTTAGACTTGTATACCCACCAGCTAAAACAGCACGAATATGTCAAGACCAATTTGACGAATGTCTTTTGCTTGTTGATCCAAACTGTGAGATCGCACCACATGTGTACACAATGAAAAGGATATTTTTGTCTCCTGAGGCATTCCCATCTATTTTTTCTCACAAACAACTGCAACAAGAAAGGAAAAGTACAAAGAAAAGAAACAGAAAACGTCAAAAAAACAGAGGTAAGTCGTGAGAAAATATTCATGCAAAAAAGAGTGAATGTTTGTAAATAAAATAAATCAACAAATGTAAATAATTAAAAACAGAAATAAATACTAAAAGTTCAGTATATCTTAATAGCAATTCACTATATTAAAAGTATACATATTGTTATAGTTAACATGCTTAAAGGGCAAAGTCCATGAATATGATTGTAACCTATATAGATTACTTCTGATGCTAAAAAAAAGAACACACCAACAAAGATCCAGTTTTAGCCACATTTTGCTTAGAACTTTGACAGATTATGTCCAACGGTTGGATTTTTTGTTTGTTTGTTTGAAATTAAGCACAAAGCTTCACAATGGGCGATCTGTGCTCTGCCCACCACAGGTATCAAAACCTGGTTTCTAGCATTGTAAGTCCACAGACATACCTCTGAGTCACTGGGGGGCAGGTTGGATGCATAAGTTAGAGGAAAATTCAGAAAATTAATATGTCATGCATCATAGCTTGGTCCTGTCAAATTGTAATAATAAAATTCATATTTATCTATGAGTACTGTAAGATCTATGTACCATAAATAATGGTTAAATAAAACAGAACCTTATAAAAAAGTCATTTATTCTCAATATAAATTTGGAGTAATTTTTGTCTAAAATGATCCAGGAAAGTTACTGAGAATTATATTTAAATTTAACAAGAGCATATGTTATGCTCATAGAAAAAGTACACATTATTACAGTTACGTACTTCTGCAGATACATACATATTCATAACAAAATAATGAAAAAAGACACATGAATTATTAGGGAACATTCTCAATCAAACCATTTTTACACATGTATATTACCATTATCTTTTTATTGGGAGGCTGCTTCAACTGTGACCCGACTTTTAGAGAATCAGTCACCATGTCAACAAGACTTTGATGAAGATCAGGAAGAAGGACAGTCTGAAATATGCACAGATTTCACAATACATGAACAGTTAGAAATTATGAAATATACTTGAACAGAGGCAGATATACAACCTGAATTTGTTTGTAATACAGTAACACTACTTTGTGTGCTTTTCAAGAAATGAATATTTTTGCAAATCAACAAATATATTCAATTATGCATTTTTATTTTTTCTTAGCTTCCACATACTTAAGTGATGTATGTGTATGCAGATATATGTGCAGACTGTGTAACAAACCAACAGTAAAATCACTTTCTACACAAAAACTTGCTGTCATTGACCAAAACAGCAACTTGGGCAGACAAGAAGCAACAGTTAGTGATGGCGATAGAACATTATACCTAAAGTGCATACAAGACTAAGTAGCAAAGCCAACCATGACATCCAAGTTGAATGAGTGTAAGAATGACTTGACATTCAAGGTATTCCAAGAAAAAAATTGGACAAAACACCTCACTAGTCTTGCCAGAGCTGCCTCAAGTTCCTCAGAATATTTCCACCAAAGATAAGGCACCAAAAAGGAAATAATTAGGAAAAATTAGGAAACACAAGTCACATTTTCACAAAAACACATAAATCTTCAAAATCAAGGTATTTGATTTTATGTAAGTTAAATATTTGCATTTTCTTGTTATGGTTATGTTTCCATCCATAACATACATTATCTTTATGGAAAAAATAACTGAATAAAAAAATATTTTGGTAAATTTGACAAGTCTTAGTAAGGTGATAATCATATTAATAAATAAAGGTCCATTTGATCATGAAAGAACTGAACTTTATATTAATATACAGTTTCTAGTGAATCTGTATATGGTGAAATAAGCAACACTATTTTTATAATCTGTTCAACTTTGTGTGACATAGTAGCCAAAAAGAAATAATATCATAGGGATTAGATACTATTCATTTGACATCGTTACTGATATTCACTAAGTCATATCATACATAGATCTAATATATGATGGCTATTTAAAATTCCATTTTATTAGGAACAGTGGTGAATTGTGATTTATTCAAACAATAGTAACAGAAAAGAAACACTATAACAGCAAATGATTGCCTTATCCTTATAACATTTCAATTTTTGAACATTATTTATGAGAAGTAAATTTGAAGCAACATAGACTGTATTGTAAGTTCACAAGAGAAATGCCATTTTGGACTAGAAAAGGGTAACAAGATGTATTGTACAACAATATATCATAACATTTTCTAAATAAAAGATCAAAATTGGGTATCTTCTTCTGATATATTGTTTTATTGTTATAAATGTTTTTTTTTTATGTTAATGGTTAAAAAAATCTGCCTTACAATCCATAAACCAGATATATATACACACACAGATACTTTATTACCACAGTTATACATTTAAAATAATGGATGAAGAACATTGTGTTATACATCTGGTTCTGAATATGATTTTATGATAGCTTTCACTACACAAGAAGGGATTGGTCTTCTGTTTCTTTTTCCTAATTTACCTATACATCCATAATAGTAATATACTACTA